CTCAAAACTGACAAAAACGGACGATAACACTCAAAGCTGACACAAAAATGGACGATAACACTCAAAACTGACAAAAATGGACGATAACACTCAAAACTGAAAAAAATGAACGATAAATCTTAAAACAGACAAAAATGGACGATAACACTCAAAGCTGACAGAAAAAATTGGCAAAAATGGACGATAAATCTCAAAAATGACAAAAATAGACAACAACACTCAAAACTGACTCGAAATTGGTAAAAATTGCCATTAATGATAGACAGCCAGCAGTAGACGATATCGATTACATCGGACAAAGTTGAACAGAATTTCATTCGGACATCTGTAAATTGAAAGTTCAGACCCGTACAGCCTCAAAAATACATAGTACTGGCGTCATTTTCAAGGATTTTTATAGATTTTTTATTGATCGTTGGTAAATATAGCTCCAGACCCTGCCCGGAATTCGAGCAATTGTGATATTTGACTAACACAATCAAACACACACCGTGTAACTACTGATATCAAAGCTAAATACAGAAAAAACGTCCAACAGAAAGCAATTCATAATCGGATTTGCATGTAAACCCTTCATTTCTCCTCTACATGAAAGAAAACCAAAGCTCTGCCTACAGCGGCGGCAACACAAACTCATCAATGTATAAAACCGGCATTGATTTCTGTACAAGATAAATATGTACAGGGGAAGCTAGATTTTATACCGTGCAGTCATCTCGTTAAACAAGAAATTATAAAAATGATATGTCCAGAATCGCACTAAATTTCAATTTATTGTATCATTTGGGTTTGAAATTTCACCATTTCAAAGTCTGCTAGAATCCTAAATACAGAAACATTCTTGAGTCTAGTAAAGTCAAAACGCAAGTCCATAGCCGAAAAAAAGACGAGAGAAAACTGACCAGTCTGGGACCAGAACGTGTATTCAAGACTGCTTGTAATGCCCCAAACCTTTGCCCCCTCCCCCTTGATACGTTATGAATGATTTTCGTTTGATCAAACCTGACCACTGACTTGTATGTAGTCTCAAAGCATAAGCTCTCACGAACAGAACGATTCAAAGGAAAACATCTAGAATACCACAGTGTCAGCAAAAACGCCAGTCAGCAAGTTACCCTCCTCATCCAAAACATGTGAAAATACAGATACCGGTGTAATCCAGGTATAATGTTCCACAGGAGAGAGTTATACCTGTCTAATAGATCACCTGTACAGATACCGGTGTAATCCAGGTATAATGTTCCACAGGAGATATTTATACCTGTTTTATAGATCACCTGTACAGATACTGGTGTAATCAAGGAGATATTTATACCTGTTTTATAGATCACCTGTACAGATACTGGTGTAATCAAGGTATGATGTTCCACAGGAGATATTTATACCTGGCTTACAGATCACCTGTACAGATACCGGTGTAATCCAGGTATGATGTTCCACAGGAGAGAGTTATACCTGTCTAACAGATCACCTGTACAGATACCGGTGTAATCCACCTGTACAGATACCGTTGTAATCCAGGTATAATGTTCCACAGGAGATATTTATACCTGTCTTACAGATCACCTGTACAGATACCGGTGTAATCCAGGTATAATGTTCCACAGGAGAGAGTTATACCTGTCTAATAGATCACCTGTACAGATACCGGTGTAATCCAGGTATGATGTTCCACAGGAGAGAGTTATACCTGTCTAATAGATCACCTGTACAGATACCGGTGTAATCCAGGTATAATATTCCACAGGAGAGAGTTATACCTGTCTAATAGATCACCTGTACAGATACCGGTGTAATCCAGGTATGATGTTTCACAGGAGAGTTAAACCTGTCTAATAGATCACCTGTACAGATACCGGTGTAATCCAGGTATGATGTTCCACAGGAGATATTTATACCTGTCTAATAGATCACCTGTACAGATACCGGTGTAATCCATGTATAATGTTTCACAGGAGAGTTAAACCTGTCTAATAGATCACCTGTACAGATACCGGTGTAATCCAGGTATGATGTTCCACAGGAGAGAGTTATACCTGTCTAATAGATCACCTGTACAGATACCGGTGTAATCAAGGTATGATGTTCCACAGGAGAAAGTTATACCTGTCTAATAGATCACCTGTACAGATACCGGTGTAATCCAGGTATGATGTTCCACAGGAGAGAGTTATACCTGTCTAATAGATCACCTGTACAGATACCGTTGTAACCCAGGTATGATGCTCCACAGGAGAGAGTTATACCTGTCTAATAGATCACCTGTACAGATACCGGTGTAACGAAGTATGATGATGCAGAGACTGGAGTCATTTTGATGGAAGGGAGACAACTCTTACGATTTATGAATCCTCTTAATGATAAGATTTCGAGTTGTCTCCCTCGGCATGCTCTGCTACAAAATGAAGTTTGTGTAAAGTCGCTGATCACACTGTGTCTTCTACCTCTAACTTGGAATTTCTATCACAAGCAAAATAAGAATTTGTATACAGAATGAAGTCTCTTAGATACTTTTTCTACAGATAGTCGTCGGAGCAGTGTTCATGTCAGCACGAACTTTGTTTCATTATAAAAAAATCTTTGATATTATTATCAAAGATATTTGACTTCAGGCTAAAAACTTTTATTTAAATTAGTTTTCTCCGTGGACAAGTGAACAGTTTGTACAAAACATACACACCCTCTCTGACACATACACACTCACACACGCGCAGACACCACACACACATCTACATAAGCATAATCAGCCATTAACACCATCCCACAGTTTCAGTAAACACGTTCATTAGTCGTTTCATAGGAGTGTTCCCGATTTGCCCACTTTTTATATCAAAGAAATGTGTTGTTTTAGGAAGACTATAGAAAACCAATCACAGCCAATTTCAGATAACTATAGATTTCACCTGAGTTCATTTACCTGTGTTTTTACCTGTGTGAGCTATTACCTGAGATTCTACCTGTAGTCTACACTGCGTACTTTTCTTTACATTTTATTTTTTGTTATTTTATTACACACATTCTATAAGATAGCAAAAGCAGAAAGTTTATCATCACACATTACATGCATATAAATAAAATAAAACACAGTATTCTAAAGGATGTGTGACAGTCCAGCACATTGCACATTATCATGTGTAGTTTTGGGTAGATGTCTCGAAGTTGTACGGAAAGCAATCTCAGAGAAAATTCCGCAGAATGTATCAGCTGGGTAACTGCATGAACTACACTGTTTGATTATGATGAAGTCTGATTTCCCCCGCTTATAAATAATCATTGTGGCTTGGGATACCTGCTCATCATCAGCTTGCATTATCATAATGATTATGTGTGTACATGGAACAGTGTTCAATATCTGGTAACAGCACTATCATCGCCACTTCTGAGGTCATCTTCTAATTGTTGAGGTCGATGGCTTGGGTAATTAAATAATATAAGTATACTTACATTTAGAAAACATAAAATAATTTATATAGGTATAATAAAAAATTAATACTATTAATACCAAAGGATGTTTTGTTTAATTATACATAATGATTAATATCCTAAAATATTTCATCATCATCATCAATTTACTTAATATGGGGCCCTTAATATATACTTAATATATACTTAATATATATTCAAGTCAGACAAATTTATTAAAAATGTAAAACTTTAATTCTGATATAATATAATATAATGCTTTAGTGAATGTTAACCTCCTCTAATAAATGATAATGAATTAAAATAAACTGAAATTTATATATTTAAGAAAAAAAGTCTTTAATTTGTTAACATTTTCAATGACATATATATCAACATAAAGAAATAAAATGTAATGCTTTTCTATTTTATATATTTTAAAAAAAACTCAATAAAATAGCTATCATTTAATAGGCTAGATGGCACAGGTGACCATAGGTAAAATACAGGTTAAAAACACAGGTAAACACGGGTAAATTAATATGAACTAGACTATAATCCTTATCACAACATTCTTCTGCCCATGTTATTTTAAATAGTGAGCAAATCGGAATACAGCCGTTTCATAAAAGACAAAATTGGTATAGGGGAGACAACTCCGTTTTAAACATTAATAAAGAATATTACAGATGAACATCCAACCATGATTATTTTTCTGTAGGTTATAAGGGTATTAATGCATATATATACAAATACCTGATTCCAAAGGGTTGGGCCTGACCAACACAGTAAGCCCTTACCCAGTGCAATAAAAAAATAAGAGACACAACTGCATTCACTTAATAAAATGGGGAATTATGAGGTCACATTTTAGAAGGGATCATGTCTAAAATATTGCGTTGTTCCAAATCAGCAGAACGGAATTCGTCCAGACAGTAAGAATGTTAGTACAGACCTCCTCCAGACAGTAATAATGTCAGTACACACCTCGTCCAGACAGTTATAATGTCGGTAAAGACCTCATCCAGACAGTAATAATGTCAGTACAGACCTCGTCCAGACAGTTAAAATGTCAGTACACACCTCGTCCAGACAGTTATAATGTCAGTACACACCTCGTCCAGACAGTTATAAAGTCAGTACAGACCTCGTCCAGACATTTATAATGTCAGAACACACCTCGTCCAGATAATTATAATGTCAGTACACACCTCGTCCAGACAGTTATAATGTCAGTACACACCTCGTCCAGACAGTTATAATATCAGTACAGACCTCGTCCTGACAGTTATAATGTCAGTACAGACTCCAAGTGCTACACATTCACATTTTATTAGATCTTGCATTATCTTTACAGAAATACATATACAACCTGAATCTAGAAATACTTGATTTCTAGAACTTTTAACCTAAATATGTAAACATTTTATCTGAATTCAAAAAACCAGATTTAAAAATTGGATTCTTCTCTCGAACAAGTTTAAATGTTGTCACCATAACTGTCGACAGCATCAATCAGACCATATTGATGTTTGAGTGATATATAAAATGTAACACACTGTGTTGTATCTGGGGATGAGACTTAAAATACTACTTACTTGGAGTGTCCTGGCGGCGATACAACAGCTGTGGACATTCTCCTACAAGTAGAGAAAATGATATCATGTAAATTTCAATTTTAAAAACTGAAAAAAGACAGATAAAATAGATAAAGGTAGGGTTATTCATCTCTTAAGGTCAGATGTCTCTCTGACCGAGGTAGAGTAATTCACTTCCTAAATGTCATGTGTATCTTGCTGACCACAGTAAGTGACAATGCTATTTGAATATCACTGTCCAGAATTTACACGGTGACGTGAGTGAATCAGAGCTCCAGTGGGACGGAGTGAAGGTTACTTTCGAGCGTAACCTCGCTTGCCGTAGCAGACCTCAAATAACCAAGCTAGGCAATTAATACATCTCCACACGTTTTCAATAATGTTTATATTTGGCTTTGTACAGGCCAATCCATATTTGGTATACGATTTGCCGTCTTCCAGGCATTGGCCACTCTATAACGATGAGGCCGGGTCGCGTTATCCTGATAAATCCAATCACCATTGCCAAATTCCTTTGCAACAACAGGCCACAAGTTTTCGTCAAGTAAATCTATATACTTTTGTGAATTTATATTTCCATCAACTTCTACCAAAGTACCAACACCATTATATGAAATACGTCTCCAAAACACTACACTCAATCTTTTTGCCATTTGTGCTTAGTCTACGCTAGTTTTCCTCTACACCACTGAACTCGTCTTTGCCGGTTGACCTTTGAAACTGTGATGGACTTTCGAATTCGGCGGGTGTAAAATTCTCTGAACAGTTCTTGTACAAACAGGACAAGGGATTCAACTATTTAAAGTGTTGGTAATATCTTAAAGTCCGTCTCTCCTTCTTTTTCTAACAAGCCGATATAATCTGCGACAACCACGGTCACTCAAAAGTTTTGGTCTACCACTTCGATGGCGATTTTCCAAAGCTCCGGTTGTTTCAATTTTCTTGAAGATTCGTCCGACTGTGGATCGATGAATTCCTAATAAGTTTGCTATTTCAGAATTTTTATGTCCCTTGGCATGTAAATCCAGCAACACTTTCTTTTTGTCCGGTGTCAATTCATTGACACTTCGAGCCATCGTCTACTACTTCCGCGTCCAATGTAAACACAACATGACGTCACAAAATTCCGGTGTCAAGTAAAAATATACCCCCTGAAATTTGTTCTTGCTGAGTTTCATGCCGATAGTCAAATTATTTCTGTCCAAAAATCGCAAATGAAATGTACCAAAATATTTTTTGGAGGAAATCGGCCGTGTTTGTTGCAATACTTTTGTCACGTCACTGTACATGTATAATGACGATGAACTGAAAATCACAAAAACCATCTAATATGAGGGTCCAAACATCATGTTTTCAATATGAGGGATATGACATCGTGCTATCGAAACCAGGGGTCTAACATCAAGTGTCTGACATAAGAATTCTGACATTAGGGTTCCGATTCTGATACATGTCTCCAACATCAGGGTTCTGACATTAAGATTTTGACATCCGGAGTTCCGGCAAAAAAAACCAAAAAAACCCACCGACCTGTGGCCAGTACCTCGTCTATTGCCATAGTAACCATATCATATGTAATGCATGTGTGTAAGCTTTTTCAGTGCATGTATAAATACGGGTTTTGGCACATCCGCGGTTGGTTGTCTAGCACTTCTGACAGGGCGCTGTTGCATGTAATTTTCATGTTTTGGCGGAGACTCGCTAAAAGATAAAGCACTTCATGGATAGAGCTAAGTAACAAAACAGAGAGTAGTATGGAAAACAAAACAAAACAAAAAAATACAAACACATCAAAAAGGAGAAGTGATTTTATCTGTTCCCTCTGTATAGAGGTACAGATGCAGTGATATATCTGATCAGTCTCATCTTTCTCGTTTGAATATTGACAAGCACAATACAACATAACGAAAAACACCATTAAAAGATTTATGAGAGACAAGAGTTGTTTATATGGAACAATTGATAAAACACCACATTACAGAATCATTTTAAACTATCACAGTTCATAGTGTTGAATAATGAAAACAAATGGCTCGCCTACCGATAAATATAATACTGACGTCATCAAGGGATTTGGTACTCTGTTGAACACCGCTCTCATTCGATGAAACAGTGCAGCTTATTTTCATCGTTAAAATCATTAGAATTTACATTAATACGTGTAGCACTATCAAAACTATTTTTTCGTACATGTATATCGTCGTTCACTTGGCACTGAACGACTACACGGTTCTCACCCTTCACCTCAGTCACCACAGACAGACTTTTCGCACGCGCAACGCCGAAATCTTGTAAGAGCCATCCACTCAAAGGGCTCTCAAGAATATATTAAAATTTCTTGAAAATCAACAACCGCAAACCAGTGTAACACTTATCTGTCTCCTCTCAGTATAAACAACAACCGGAACAGGTGTCACATTTATCTGTCCCCTTTCTGTATAACTGATAACTACAGGTGTGGCGCTTACCTGCCCCTCTCTGTATAACTGATAACTACAGGTGTGGCGCTAACTTGCCCCTCTCTGTATAACTGATAACTACAGGTGTGGCGCTAACCTGCCCCTCTCTGAATAACTGATAACTACAGGTGTGGCGCTAACTTGCCCCTTTCTGTATAACTGATAACTACAGGTGTGGCGCTTACCTGCCCCTCTCTGTATAACTGATAACTACAGGTGTGGCGCTTACCTGCCCCTCTCTGTATAACTGATAACTACAGGTGTGGCGCTTACCTGCCCCTCTCTGTATAACTGATAACTACAGGTGTGGCGCTTACCTGCCCCTCTCTGTATAACCTGCCCCTCTCTGTATAACTGATAACTACAGGTGTGGCGCTTACCTGCCCCTCTCTGTATAACTGATAACTACAGGTGTGGCGCTTACCTGCCCCTCTCTGTATAACTGATAACTACAGGTGTGGCGCTTACCTGCCCCTCTCTGTATAACTGATAACTACAGGTATGGCGCTTACCTGCCCCTCTCTGTATAACTGATAACTACAGGTGTGGCGCTTACCTGCCCCTCTCTGTATAACTGATAACTACAGGTGTGGCGCTTACCTGCCCCTCTCTGTATAACTGATAACTACAGGTGTGGCGCTTACCTGCCCCTCTCTGTATAACTGATAACTACAGGTGTGGCGCTTACCTGCCCCTCTCTGTATAACTGATAACTACAGGTGTGGCGCTTACCTGCCCCTCTCTGTATAACTGATAACTACAGGTGTGGCGCTAACTTGCCCATTTCTGTATAACTGATAACTACAGGTGTGACGCTAACTTGCCCCTCTCTGTATAACTGATAACTACAGGTGTGGCGCTAACCTGCCCCTCTCTGTATAACTGATAACTACAAGTGTGGCGTTAACTTGTCCTTCTTTGTATAACTGATAACTACAGGTGTGGCGCTTACCTGCCCCTCTCTGTATAACTGATAACTACAGGTGTGACGCTAACTTGCCCCTCTCTGTATAACTGATAACTACAGGTGTGACGCTTACCTGCCCCTCTCTGTATAACTGACAACTACAAGTGTGACGCTAACTTGCCCCTCTCTGTATAACTGATAACTACAGGTGTGACGCTTACCTGCCCCTCTCTGTATAACTGATAACTACAGGTGTGGCGCGTACCAGCCACTCTCTGTATAACTGATAACTACAGGTGTGGCGCTTACCTGCTCCTCTTTGTATTACTGATAACTACAGGTGTGACACTTACTTGCCCCTCTCTGTATAACTGACAACTACAAGTGTGGCACTTACCTGCCCCTCTCTGTATAACTGATAACTACAGGTGTGGCGCGTACCAGCCACTCTCTGTATAACTGATAATTACAGGTGTGGCTCTTACCTGCTCCTCTTTATATTACTGATAACTAGAGGTGTGACGCGAATTTGCCCCTTTCTGTATAACTGATAACTACAGGTGTGACGCTAACTTACCCCTTTCTGTATAACTGATACTACAGGTGTGGTGTTAACTTGCCCCTTTCTGTATAACTGATAACTACATGTATAACTGATACTACAGGTGTGACGCTAACTTTCCCCTCTCTGTATAACTGATAACTACAGGTGTGGCGCTAACCTGCCCCTCTCTGTATAACTGATAACTACAGGTGTGACGCTAACTTTCCCCTCTCTGTATAACTGATAACTACAGGTGTGTCGCTAACCTGCCCCTCTCTGTATAACTGATAACTACAGGTGTGACACTTACTTGCCCCTCTCTGTATAACTGATAACTACATGTATAACTGATACTACAGGTGTGGCGTTTACTTGCCCCTCTCTGTATAACTGATAACTACAAGTGTGGCGTTAACTTACCCCTTCCTGTATAACTGATACTACAGGTGTGGCGTTAACTTGCCCCTTTCTGTATAACTGATAACTACAGGTGTGACGTTAACTTGCCCCTGTCTGTATAACTGATAACTACAGATGTGGTGTTAACTTGCCCCTGTCTGTATAACTGATAACTACAGGTGTGGTGTTAACTTACCCCTTTCTGTATAACTGATAACTGGAGTAGATGTGACATTCTCTACTTTTTACCTGTACATGATGTTTTTCCCTTCGTTCCTTGTCGACATTCTCTGATCACAATTATTACTACGTCAGTCCTGCAGTACATCCTACAGTATTGTGAGGTTCAAAGCATACACCCGTCAGAATATCCATCACGTTTAGTCATATCAAAACACATCTCCTGGCAACCGATAATTCAAAAACTGCAATCTGTTGCAATATATACATGTAGACCATGTGTTCCGGTAAGTCGATCGAAACATGTTCTGGTGTACCAAAGCGCCGTTAAAGTCGATATTTTTAAGAATAAGTTTAGATTTGGTAGATTTAACCTTCACAGTGACTTCACTGTGATGGAACTTAACATTCCGAAGATTCTGCTCCATCTATTGATTCCAAAACGACATGCGACTTAACAAAGCTGTATGATATATAGGTCAGATATTACACCCGTGAACAGTACTCCCAACACTATCTAACGGAACACCGATACATTCAAGAACAGAGATGA